GTGTTTAAAAAAGTCGAAATTAACCGAAGGAAGTTTACAAGTCAAACTTCCAACAGGATGGACAGATGGAAAAGCAGAGGTGGGAAGAATCAGAGAGGAGAAGAGCCGAAGAGAGAAGATCAGAGCAGAGCAAGAGTGAGAAGAAAGAAGATGCAGGTGCGCGAAATGTGGGAAAGTCGCCGAACATTGTGTTTTCCAATGATTTGTGGCTCCGGAGGGTCAAAAAGTAGGCTCGCTAAAGCGGCGGATGCGGAGCCAGCCATGTGGTCAGATGAGAGATGAAAAGTGCACGCCGTTATGGCGCGAAGCACATTTCCAAGTCAAAACGTACAAAGCACCTCAGCTCCGGACCGCTTTTGGAAGTTGAGATGTCGAAAAATGCAGGCCGTTGTGGCGCGAAGCACATGTGGAAGTCAAAATGTACAAAACACCTCAGTGTCGGAGCGCTTTTGGAAGTTGCGCTGGAAAAGTGCACGCCGTTGTGGCGCGAAGCACATTTCGAAGTCAAAAGTGTAAAAAACTGAGGGGGGCGGAGCACTTTTGGACGTTCAGATGTCATTTTGCATTGCAAGCGCAGGGGATTGTTCACCTTGTCAAAGTGAGCAAAAAGTGAAGGTTTTGTATGGTTTTGTAGCATTTTCAAAAGCGTTGGCAGGCGTGGGGCATTTGAAGAGGATCTGGAAAGATGCATTTTCCGTGGTGCAGTACAAGAGACATGTTCATCAGAGATGTTAGGAGGTTAGGGCGCTGATTTCCTGAGAGGGGTTGCACCAGATCTTCAGGTTTGCAAAGATGATTTTGCGTGACAGGTGCAGCACTTCGTATCACCTGGCATCACTTTTGCGTGGCAAGCGCAGCACTTTAGACAGATGGAGTGGGAAATCGCAAAACGCAATGGCACGAGGCCGTCAGCTCTGCACTTAACTTTCCATTTTTGAAGGAAGTCTCGCAGAATTGCTTCGTTTTTGATCCTGCCAATTTCGAAAATTGAGGAAGTCTCGCAGAATTGCTTTGTTTTTGACGTTATCAAGTTCAAAAGTTGAATAAGTCTCGCAGAACTGCTTTGTTTTTCATGTTGTCACCTTCGAAAATGGAGGAAGTCTCGCAGAATTGCTTCGTTTTCAAGCTTGCAGATAGACAGATAGATAGACAGATAATTCGACAGCTACAACTGCCACTACACTTCAACTACTACAACTACAACTACATCACACTACGCTACGCTAATTACAATAAAATACATTAAAACTACAACAACAAGGAAAACGATAACAACAGCTGCTACTGCTACTGCTACTGCTACTGCTACTACTGCTACTACTACTACTACTACTACTACTACTACTGTATACTACTGTATACTACTGTATACTACTGTATACTACTGTATACTACTGTATACTACTGTATACTACTGTATACTACTGTATACTACTGTATACTACTGTATACTATACTGTATACTATACTACTGTATACTACTGTATACTACTGTATACTACTGTATACTACTGTATACTACTGTATACTACTGTATACTACTGTATACTACTGTATACTACTGTATACTACTGTATACTACTGTATACTACTGTATACTACTGTATACTACTGTATACTCCTGTATACTCCTGTATACTCTGTATACTACTGTATACTACTGTATACTACTGTATACTACTGTATACTACTGTATACTACTGTATACTACTGTATACTACTGTATACTACTGTATACTACTGTATACTACTGTATACTACTGTATACTACTGTATACTACTGTATACTACTGTATACTACTGTATACTACTGTGTATACTAGTGTATACTAGTGTATACTACTACTACTGTATACTACTGTATACTACTGTATACTAGTGTACACTACTGTATACTACTGTATACTACTGTATACTAGTGTATACTAGTGTATACTAGTGTATACTAGTGTATACTAGTGTATACTAGTGTATACTAGTGTATACTAGTGTATACTAGTGTATACTAGTGTATACACTATTGTTTAAAAAAAAACACTGTATACTACTACTACTACTGTTATACACTGCATTACTACTACTACTACTACCTACTTACTGTATAATACTACTACTACGCTAGACTACTGGTATACTACGTATACACTGTATACTACTACTATGCTACTACTGTATACTACTGCTATATTACTGTATACTACTGTATACTTTACTGTACCTACTGTATTACTACTGTATACGACTGTCTACTACTGTATACTACATCGTATTACTCCTGTATACACTGTATATACTGTGTACTACTGTTGTACTTTACTGTGTACTACGTTATACTTCACTGTATACCTGTATTACTCCTGTGTATACTGTAACGACTGTATTACTACTGTATATACTGTATACTTTTACTGTATACTAGTTGTATACTAGTGTATACTAGTGTATACTACGTTTTTTTTGGCGCTTTCGCGGTGATGTGGGTGTGTGTAAACTAGGTGTTACATACTACTGTATACTAGTGTATACTAGTGTATACTAGTGTATACTAGTGTATACTAGTGTATACTAGTGTATACTAGTGTACACTAGTGTACACTAATGTAAACTACTGTATACTACTGTATACTAGTGTATACTAGTGTATACTAGTGTATACTACTGTATCCTACTGTATCCTACTGTATACTATTGTATACTATTGTATTCTACTGTATACTACTGGATACTACTGGATACTACTGGATACTACTGGATACTACTGGATACTACTGGATACTACTGTATACTACTGTATACTACTGTATACTACTGTATACTACTGTATACTACTGTATGCTACTGTATGCTACTGTATGCTACTGTATGCTACTGTATACTACTGTATGCTACTGTATGCTACTGTATGCTACTGTATGCTACTGTATACTACTGTATACTACTGTATGCTACTGTATACTACTGTATACTACTGTATACTACTGTATACTACTGTATACTAGTGTATACTAGTGTATACTAGTGTATACTAGTGTATACTAGTGTATACTAGTGTATACTAGTGTATACTAGTGTATACTAGTGTATACTAGTGTATACTACTGTATACTAGTGTATACTACTGTATACTAGTGTATACTACTGTATACTACTGTATACTACTGTATACTACTGTATACTAGTGTATACTACTGTATACTAGTGTATACTAGTGTATACTAGTGTATACTAGTGTATACTAGTGTATACTAGTGTATACTAGTGTATACTAGTGTATACTAGTGTATACTAGTGTATACTAGTGTATACTAGTGTATACTACTGTATACTACACTACTGTATACTACTACTACTACGACTACAACTACTACTACTACTACGACTACTACTACTACTACTACTACTACTGTGTACTGCTACTGTAAACTACTACTGTATACTACTACTACTGTATACTACTACTACTGTATACTACTACTACTGTATACTACTACTACTGTATACTACTACTACTGTATACTACTACTACTGTATACTACTACTACTACTACTACTACTACTACTACTGTATACTACTACTACTACTACTGTATACTACTACTACTACTGCTGCTACTACTACTGTATACTATGACTACTACTACTACTACTATTACTACTACTGTATACTACTACTACTGTAAACTACTACTACTACTACTACAACTACTACTACTACTGCTACTACTACTACTACTCCTACTGTACCACTACTACTGCATACTACTACTACTGTATACTACTACTACTGTATACTACTACTACTACTGTATACTACTGTATACTACTGTATACTACTGTATACTACTACTACTGTATAATACTACTACTACTACTACTATTACTGTATACTACTGTATACTACTGTATACTACTGTATACTACTGTATACTACTGTATACTACTGTATACTACTGTATACTACTGTATACTACTGTATACTACTGTATACTACTGTATACTACTGTATACTACTGTATACTACTGGATACTACTGTATACTACTGTATACTACTGTAAACTAGTGTATACTAGTGTATACTAGTGTATACTAGTGTATACTACTGTATACTAGTGTATACTAGTGTACACTAGTGTACACTAGTGTACACTAATGTAAACTACTGTATACTACTGTATACTACTGTATACTAGTGTATACTAGTGTATACTAGTGTATACTACTGTATCCTACTGTATCCTACTGTATACTAGTGTATACTAGTGTATTCTACTGTATACTACTGGATACTACTGGATACTACTGGATACTACTGTATACTACTGGATACTACTGTATACTACTGTATACTACTGTATACTACTGTATACTACTGTATACTACTGTATACTAGTGTATACTAGTGTATACTAGTGTATACTAGTGTATACTAGTGTATACTAGTGTATACTAGTGTATACTAGTGTATACTAGTGTATACTAGTGTATACTAGTGTATACTAGTGTATACTAGTGTATACTACTGTCTACTACTACTACTGTCTACTACTACTACTACTACTACTGTATACTAGTGTATACTACTGTATACAGGTTTATACTAGTGTTATACTATGTATACTAGTGTATACTAGTGTATACTAGTGTATACTTAGTGGATACTAGTGTATACTAGGGTATAATAGTGTATACTAGGGTATACTTCGTGTATCTAGTGTATATAGTGTATACTACTGTTACTACTAATACTACAGTATACTACAGTATACACATATTACACTGTATGACGGATACTGTATGCTACTGTATGCCATACCTGTATGCTACTGTATGCTACTGTATACTACTGTATACTACTGTATACTCCTGTATGCTACTGTATACTACTGTATGCTACTGTATACTACTGTATACTACTGTATACTACTGTATACTACTGTATACTACTGTATACTACTGTATACTACTGTATACTACTGTATACTACTGTATACTACTGTATACTACTGTATACTACTGTATACTACTGTATACTCCTGTATACTCCTGTATACTCCTGTATACTCCTGTATACTCCTGTATACTACTGTATACTACTGTATACTACTGTATACTACTGTATACTACTGTATACTACTGTATACTACTGTATACTACTGTATACTACTGTATACTACTGCTACTACTACTACTACTGTATACTACTACTACTGTATACTACTACTACTACTGCTGCTACTACTACTACTACTGTATACTACTACTACTACTGCTGCTACTACTACTACTGCTACTACTACTACTACTAATACTACTAATACTACTGTATACTACTACTGTATACTGCTACTGTATACTACTACTGTATACTACTACTGTATACTACTACTGTAAACTACTACACTGCAGTACACTACACTACATTACATTGCACTACACTACTTTACAGCTAAAACTACAACTACCCTAATTACACTACACTACTTTACAGCTACAACTACAACTGCACTAATTACATTACACTACAGCTACAACTCCACTCACTACAACTACAACTGCGCTACGCCACACTACATCCAGCAGTTGTGCGTGAGGTGACCACTGCAACCATTGCAACCACTCCAAAAAACACAACTCCAACCACCTTTCTGTCCATCAGTGGATTCGCTCTGCCATCCGTGATTCACAACAACCAACCTCTCCTATAGTTTTCCTATTTTTGAAACTTCCGCCACCGCCTGCCGCCTTGTGCGGTACTACTGGTATATGTATATAATATATATATATATAATGTCCACATATTATACATTGCTTCTATTTGGTATGGAACCACTGGTTGGAATTCAAATCAAGCTTTGTCACATCAAGCCCCTATTGCCAGTGCTCTGGAACTTTGGTTCCAATGCAAAAGGGCGTCACAGCACAAAGAGGATCCTTGCTTCATCCACCAGCTGGAAAACTCAGCTAGCCATATTATAAATCTTCACAACAAATTGATTATACTCCAAGTGACCACAGTACCATCATCCTCCTCGTTGGTGACGGCCCGCCCTAAGGTTGGCGGCGGACCTCGCCAACATTGCAAAAGCTTTGCTTTCCTTACGTTCTGAAGCCTTGTGTGCGCCTTCTCGTGGCTGTTTCTGTGCCTGCCTCCGCTTTACTTTCCTTCCCCATTAGCTTTCCATTCCCACAGCATGCCTGGCTGCTTGCGTACCAAGCGATCATTCACTTCTTTCACGTATTCGTCCTAGGCTTCTGAGCAAATGAAAGAACTCCCAGCCTACATTCAATTTTTATGACTCAACCAGAACTACTTCACTTCTTCGTTCTGAGCCTTTCTAACAGACATGGAGTCATCACTCAAGGTCTTGCAGTTTCTACTTCCTGCGCTTGAGCCCCCGATGTCAGCATAGTGGCCTGTACTTTTTCAACGACGTCGCTGATTCGGACTGTATCGTAGGGCATCAGTCTGATAAGGCCGTACACCTGAGGAGCAGGTTGCTTGTCTGATACATCCACACTAGTATCTGGTCACTGTCCTGCACTCACAGTTTTGGAGCAATTCCTTGCTATTCCAGCATGCAAGTGTCGGCTGTCCAGTTTCAAAGCTTGGCTGGCTACCACGCACCTTGCGGTGTCTTGACTAGGTGCCATACATATGTAACGCAGGTATTCGGATGCTGCCTTCGCAAATCATGAGCGGCTTCAAGATCAATGATTATCTTGCAGCCACCAACATGTGTCTAGCCTTTCATGAGTCGTGGTGTTGATGAATCGGTGGCTGAAAACGCAAATCAATGCCGAACACACACCCAAATACAACATGCAGGCAGAAGGAGAGCGATTTATGAGCCAACGTTTGGTATATAATGTTATAGCGTACTGCCGTCTGGGTAACCTGTCATCCCACTTAAACACGCAAAAACATTTTTATGCCTTGCGGGGGCTCTGTCCACAAGCTAAGCGTCGTTATTGCACATCCATCTTCATAAAATGCAATCTACCAGTCTGTCAGTGGGTAACTTAGAACAGAGCTGAACAAGCCAAGGACTGTCAATATATCTATATATATATATATATATCTATACACACATACTGGTGGAAGCGCATCAACATCTTCCTAGTTGGTTGGCCTTCCAATATCTAATGATACCTAAAGACGTACATTCACCATTGTCTTTATTCAAATTGAAATCACCTTTGGCTCAAGCGTATTCACTTGCCCCATTGTTAGCTCGTGCAATAGCGGGGTTTGTAAAGCAGCTTCGCTGGGGGAGCTTGCTTGATATATCTGCTATGTGCGATATCCGCCGACCCCGGCCGATTTCAAGGGGGAGCGCATCAAAAGAAAAATGGAACTCGCAAACCCGTCCAGGCTGCTCCATACTGTCAATATGTTTTTCCATCCTTGCCACATGCCGCATTGTCTTGTCACTGCTATTTTCAATCCCTGCCGCATGCCACAATGGAGGCTCAAGCAGTCAACCGCGATGTGGGTGACTTTGGGGGCGCCTGTTTGGCCCTTCGAAGATTGACCTTTCCGGCAAGCCCGGCCGTTTTGAGGTTGTGTTTGGCACCTGCAACGCTTGACTTTGAAAGCAAGCCAGCTGTGTTTTGGAATCACTTTCTTGGCGCTGCAGATAGGTGACCAGTTCCCCTCCATCCTTCACTACCACTGCGTTTTGTTGAGTCGAAGGTGACGTTAGGCACCGCATGTTGCAGCGCCAACAGCCGCCCATCTGTCCTTCACTGCCACTGTGTTTGGCCCCTCCGAAGCGTGACCTTGGAAGGCTGGGCTATGTTGTTGAATCATTCTCTTAGCCGCAGAAGGTGACGTTAGGCACCGTCAGGGCCAATAGCCAACGCCCGTCCGTCCTTTATACTGTCACTGTGTTTGGCCCCTCCGAGGCCTGACCTGGGAAGGCTTGGCCATTTTTTGAAATCATCCTCTTGGCGCAAAGGGGGACGTTGGGCAAAACATGTAAAAAAAGTTGATTCAGTGAAGTTTTCTAAACTAATATCATAGCAGTATAACAAATCAAAATTTGTTCATTAGAACAACATAACAGTCCAAAAAGTCAGTTTATATATTGTTAGTTGCTTCATTTTTCTCAACAATATCAAAACATAATTACCTCATTCAATTTTTCAAAATCGTAGCAGTCAAAGCATACTTACCTCATTCAATTTTTCAAAATCATAGCAGTCAAAGCATACTTACCTCAGTCAATTTTTCAAAATCATAGCAGTCAAAGCATACTTACCTCATTCATTTTTCAAAATCATAGCAGTCAAAAGCATTATTACCTTATTCATTTTACAAAATCCTATCCATCAACCGTTCCTAAGTTCCTTTTATGCTTCTCTGTTTTTAAATGTCTTGAATAACATTGTGCCTTCATTGATGAATTACATACATTACAAAAGGCAACTTTATCACGGTAGTTTTGTATTTGTTCCGGTTTCTTCTATATTCTTCATCTTCTTTATATTTAGTTCTTCGTGTTTCATTCACTTATCTTTATGTTTGTCATAGTTCTTTCTCTTGTATTCCAAGCATGTCTTACAAGTCTTCAATCCATCTTCAAAATTATCAATTGGTAAATCTTTAATACAGTATCTACAAAATTTATCAATTACATATAAATATGATTATCTTCTTAAATGGCTTTTCCAAGAATTCCTATAACAACCAAAAACAAAAACAAACCAAGCGAAGAACAACATAAAAAAACAAAAACAAAACAATAGACAACAATAAACATTATTCCCTACCCTTTAATAACCCTATCTTACAAAACCATAATTCAAAGAAATAAATATTATTAGACATATGTTAGTAGTAAATATCTTCAATAATTATCAATTCAAAATGAAATGCTTGTATTCCTATTATACTATCTTTACCTTGGTCTTCTTCTATGTCGGTATTTATTTCTTCATCTGCTTTATTCAATACATCCTCTATATTATCTTCATCTACATATTCATCAAAGTCATGCATGAAGTAAATTTCTCTATAACTAAATTCATTGTCTCCATATTGTTTATCTGGGAGTTTTGCTACTATTTGGACTTCAATATCAAGTTTAACTCTAAAATTTAAATTATCTTCTTCTACTTCTTCATAAATCAAAGATAGTAATTCTTCTTTTTCTTCTGTTATGATGTTTCCGATACTTTTTAAACCAAATTGCACTCCCTCTCTCACAATACAGTATTCAATTACATATTTTTTTTCTTGGTTTCAAATGTCTTGTTATTTTAGGACCAAATCTTGATATTTTATGTTTGTTCCGTATTGTCTTCAATGCTTCACTACGCTTTATTGTCAAATATTTAGGGTCTCCAATTTTATAAGGAACGATCTTACGCAACGCATCAACAGGCAAACCCTTCATACAATTTGTCTTATAAACAACTTATATAAATAACTTAGTCTTTCAGTATATATTCCAAGATTAAATGTAGAATTCTTTGAAAAACTACTTAAAGATAAATTAACTAAATAAAATATATACTATTATATGATGAAAAAGGTTATAAACTATTTATTGAGTACTGATTTAGCAGAAATACCAAAACGAGGAAGAAGAGAATTAAAGTCAATAATAATAGATGATAAGAAATTCAGATACAACAAAGACAAACCAATATCTAGTGTCTTAACAAAGAAACTACTGACGGTCAAGAAAACTAATGAATACAGAAGTTATGCTTTAAACAAGGCAAGAGATGCGTTCAGTGAAGGAAGAGTGAGACAAATACTAACCAAACACGCAATCAGAAATAAATTTAGGGTCAGAGATATTCAATCAGCATTTAGAAGATACGCTAATTCAATAGTCTTAGAAAATAAACACTTTCAAGGAGAAAGGGGATTAGAAATGATTGCGCACCAAAAACAAAGACTATCAGATTTTTTTAAGAAATAATAGGAGCATGAAACTTAACATAAGAACGGAAGGATTATTTGAAAAACCTGAATTTGATGATGGAGGAAATGAATTAGGAAGTCAGGAACTTGTATATGCCCTACCATCAACCCGCTTCAATATTAGTAATGAGGATGAACTGACGCAAGCATTAGAAGACAGTGTTAAACAAATCTTATTACAAATACAGAATTTAGAAGCATCAGCATCCAATTTAAGATTTAAGAAGATTTTGACAATAACCATTCACTATGACAAATATGACCCAACAAGAGCAGGGAGATACATAGAATTACCTGAATGGATTAGGCTAAAAAAGGCATGTATCAACATAAAGAACAGAGACCAAAAATGCTTCAAATATTGTATAGTATTCAATCCGTAGTCTATGACAAAATAAGCAAACACCACCCAGAGGAAACGTTCCACTATAATAAACTGAAAGATGATATTTTGAACTGGGATGGTGTACATTTTCCAACTGGCAATAGGGACATTGACAGATTTGAAGAGAACAATAAATCAGTTTCAATAAATGTGTTTGAACCCGATGACTGCTTAAATGATAATAAGATTATATTGCATAGAGGCACTAAAAATAGAAATGCTAAATACGAAATTGATTTACTAAAAATCTATGATGAAGATAATAATAATCACTACGCATTTGTTAAAAATAAATGTAGATTATTAAACGGTCAAAGCAGTAGCAACACAAATAAAAAGTTTTACTGCCACCATTGTTTAAATCCCTTTCAATCAGAAAAGGTATATAAGAAACATGTTGAAAACGGATGTATGGCATCAGAAGGACGACAAACAAAAATGCCAGATAAAGACGCCTATATAGAATTTGAAAAGCATAATACTAAATTGCCTTGTCCTTTTGTAATCTATGGTGATTTTGAATGTCTAACGACTAACTCTAAAAATGGTATAAAAGGCACATATCAGGAACATAAACCTTGCGGTTATATGTTGAATGTTGTAAGCAGGATTGATAATACTTGCAAACCGTATTTATACAGGGGTGAGGATTGTATGAAACATTTTGTAGAGAAACTGACGGAAATTAAGAAAGATATATTTGCAAACATGAATGTCAATGAACCAATGGATAAACTAACTTTTCAACAAAAGACAGAATTTAAACAAGCAACCCGCTGCTCGATATGTAATAAGAAATTCCAACCTGACGATGAAAAGGTTCGCGACCACTCAACATAGGCCAACATGGGCACAACATAGGTCCAACATGGGCCCAAGATGGGCCCAACATAGCCCAACATAGGCCAAACCTGGGCCTATATAGGCCCAAGATGGGCCCAACATGGATCAACATGGGCCCGACTTGACCCAACATGGGCACAACATAGGTCCAACACGGTCCAACATGGGCCCAAGATGAGCCCCAACATAGCCCAACATAGGCCCAACCTGGGCCAATATAGGCCCAAGATGGGCCCGATGGCTCAATATGGGCCCGACTTGGCCCAACATAAGCCCAAGATGGGCCCAAGACTGATGGCTCAACATGGGCCCGAGTCGGCCCAACATGGGCACAACCTGCGCTCAACATCCTCCCTGGGTTTGCGCGGAGAATCTGGGCCCAATCTTCCCACACCATAAGCCAAAAGTCGTTGCTTGGTCGGCGCCCGGCTGTCAGGTGTAAGCCTTTAAATAATCTTATATAGCGTGATACAACTTGTATGTATCACTGTATGAGGTGATGCAGGCGAGGTACGCACTCTTCTGCGTCTCCATGCGAGTGCACCGCAAATAGGTTCCGGCGCTAGCATTGGCACCTGGCACCTCACGTGACAAGTTCACCGAAGATCTTTGTCTATGGCTGGTGTGGAGTGAGCCCACAACGGGAGAATGCAGGTTCCTATATCAGGTTCCCATCAGGTTCCTTGATGTTCCTTGCTTTTAGATGATTTTGGATCTTGTAGGCTGTACAGGTCCTTCAACGGCTTTAACAGTAATGGCCTGTGGCGCGTCGGCTGTGAAGTCTCTGGTAAAGGAGGCCTTCATCGATGCGACTGCTTGTGCAGCCAGCCTCGGATGTTCAGCCATGAAGCATACGAATCACGCTATGACTTCTATGAAGCATTTCTATGAAACACATTGACGGATCCTGTCCAAGGATTCACTGAGGCCAACAGGTGACTGTAATTGACTGTAATTGTGGACGGTAACGCTACTTCACGGGCAGTTCTGCGGCCGTGAAGAAGCCTTTATTGGCTCGTTTGCATAAGTTCATCTGTCTTTTATGTTCTGATCAAATGCTGAGAACTATGCCCTCTCTCTATGTCTCTCATCTTCTTTTGTTCCATGATTTGCGACAAGCTACTCAACTGAAGGAGCCTCTTGAGCAGCGTTTGAGGGGACACGAAGCATCCTTGGTTTCAAATAGAACACATTCTTCTTCATCAACAAGGCACAACACGTCTGCTTCTATGTCTTATTGAAACTTCAAATTGAACCTCGAGAGAGTGTAAAATACTGTAAACTAGGTATAGCGATTTGACCACTATGCCTACAAATGCCTACAGTAAAGCATCAAG